GTTGAAGCAGCAATGCAAGCTGCGGGATGTCGGCCTTGCCGAAGCGGAACTTGAATCTGCAGTCGGCGTCGGTCTGGGCTGCAAAATCAAAGCGGGCAGCCGGTATGGTGATGGCGCGGGTGCAGTGCGTCAGGCCCTCTATGAGCACTTGTATCAGTGGCAGGAGCAGGAGGTCCTCCTCCATCCGTGTCTCCAAACCCTCAAATTTCCCTGTTGCAAAATCAATTGGTGACAAGAAAAGTCCCGTGGACTTTTCCGGAAAATTCTAACGGAAAAGTTGTGTACATTCTTGTTGCAAAATCACTCTATTTCTAAAGAATTCTGGCTATTATACTTGACATGTCAAAAATAAGAGCTGCGACAATTCCGACTTTTTGCTCGAATCTTCCAAATGTTCATTAGTTGGGAGAATTCCCTCGGCAAGAGTCCCGTCCGCTTACTGACGCCTTGTGCTGTCGGTGGGGATTCATACTGTTGCATCTGCACGTTCGAATCGGTTGGGGCTGTCAAGCATGCTTGGCAGCGTGGACAGCGTGAACGCACGATATCGAGCAGAACACCACGACACGCACGAAATACCAGAGGTCATACGGTCATTTTTTGAAAAATTGGAGAAAAATCATCATGTGTAAAAATGATATCGAATGTCAGGTGAAATTGGGATACATTTCGAAAAATGCATCTGACATTATCCGGAAGCGCATGACCGGATATCTAGTTCCTTTGTGTGCGGCGTTGACAACATCATGGTGCGCCCAATCAAGAGCACTCGCGGCGCGGCGAGCGTCGCCGACAAGCTGGAAGAACGCTTGAAGCAAGGTGACTACTATGGTGCATTGCAAATGTACAAGACGCTGTACAGTCGGTATGCTGCTTCCGGCGACCACTTGCGCGCGATTGAACTCGCGCACACTGCGGCGGTGCAACTTGCCAACCACGACCAGTGGACCGCGTCTCGGGAAATGGGATGTTTGTTACTGGACTTGTACGTCGCGAACAAGGTGCCCGTCGACGAAAGTAACAAAAGCCGCATCAAGGCGATCTCGGAAGCGTTTCGCAACGCGTGTCCGAAGGAAGAAGCCGAGTTTCTGAAACACGCTGTTAAGTGGAGCAAAACGAACGGGACGCGCCAGCGCGGTGACACCGAGTTGCAACTTTGGCTCGCTCGAGTGTACACTCACGAGAAAGACTTCACGAGCGCTAATAACCACTACTTGCATGCGGAGAGCCCCGTCGAGTTTGCTGGCGTGTTGGCGCAGCATGCCAACGAAGGCTACGCGAGCGAATCCGATCTCTTCGTCGCACGAGCAGTTCTTCAGTACGTGCAAAATTCCCAAAAGAACTCTTCACTCAAGCTCTGACTTAGATTGGCAGCATTGGAGAACTTGAGGGATGCCAACGAAGTTTTGGCCACGTTTTTGGCTAAGAAGCCGCTTGACACGCCGCTCATCAATTTCGTCAAGTTTCTCCTGCGTACGCTTGAGGTATGCATTGTTCACACGTCCGAATTGAATCCTTCACGTCGACAGAAGCGGGATGCGCTGCCGCTGTTCCAGCTCCTCCAAGAGCGCTACTCGCATGCACTGTCGCGTGACCCGGCCTTCCGCAATGTAAGTGCCGCCTCTTTCTCTCTTGTCGACGCTATGATAGCTCATGACATGCGCTAGTTTTTGCAAATCATCGGCCAAAAGTACTACAACGTTCAGCCGCCACAGTCTGCGTTGAGCTCGCTCATGAGCATGTTTGGCGGTGGTATGTAAGAGTTTACATGAACCACAGTACGCGTTCATCTTTGACGAACATGTCTGCCCCACGCGCATTGCAGTAATATTCGATCGGGAGGGAGATCCCTTCACGCTGTTCGCTTTACAGTAATCCGCGAACAGCCGAACCCTTGAAATACATTCTAGCTTGGATTCACAGATCAATTGGGCCATGAAGCATGCATGCTTGCATGGTGTTAGTTCAGTCTTGATAAGATGGGGGCGTCGACTCCTTCTTTCGCGCCTGCTTTTCGATTTCTTCGATTTGCACCAACGTCAACGACTTGATCGGCATCAATTTCGGTTTGCAGAGCACTTCGCTAAGGTTGCCGCGCTCCGAGTACACGAGGCCTGCCTTAGGGAGGACTTCTTGAAGCAACTCACGTGGTTTCTACTCATCCCATCACGTTCAAGTGGCAAAGACATCTCGCTTACGTTCATGGCGGCCGGCGACGTTTGGTAATGCCGATTGTATGTTGGATCTTCCAAATTTTATCAAACCCACCGTAATCATACAATTTTGAGGATATTAAAAGCCTGGCATGACTTACTTCCAATTGGCTTAAATCTTTCCCCCCGTCCGTTTTCATTGGTTGAAATGCACGACATCACAAAAGTAAATAGCATTGCGCCCCAGAGCGGTGCGAGAGGAATCGATTGCAAGCCTTGCAACAACAGCGGCATGGAACTGAAATGCGATAGAGAGGTATGCATGTGAACACATCGACGGCACGTTAGATCATGAGGAGCATCTAATATGTGCTTTTGAGAGTTCGCGTCACTTTGAGCACGATTGATAATGATGTGGAACCTCGTGGACGTCGTTCACATCGCAGTATATCGTGCTGGACGGGAAACATACACGAAATCAGTGGTAAGAGAGATGTGTGGGGTTGATCTAGGAGGGGATCGCAAAGGCAATGCAAACCCTCCACTCTCATCAACCCCAAAGAACTCGGGAGTCATCTCAGAACGAGGCAACCCATGGGAGTCCAGCTTTCCTATTCCAAGCGTGCAACAGAACTAAGGAACAGAAGGATCTGCAAAGTTCCTGACGTGAGCATGGAAGGACGGAATCGCGCTTCATCGAAGCACAACGCGCTTGATCCTGTCAACTCAAATTGCGATGTGAATCGACGATGTCCGCCAACGAGAACGACTGGCTAGGAACAGGTTCAGTTTTAAAAATGTAGTATGAAATCATTAGACTTTAATCCAGATTAAAATTGTTCAATATTTTATACCATATTTAGAATATTCGACGCAAAATAGTGTGTACTCTTCGTCTGATTGGCCCATTGCGATCTGTCATCTTGTCAATATGTGGTGCCGTCTTGGCAGGCCATCCTGCGCCGCGCCACTTCGGAAGGCGGTGGCATCAACACGCCTCTTTAGTCACAAGGCACCTGAACATGTAGCTGCAAAGACCGTCAAGGCTCACTCGATCGCGCCAAAAAAGCAGAGCCATGTAAAGACAAAGTCCTTGAATGACAAGACGAAGCCTACATCATCGACTTCACAACCTGCGACAGTAGTTGCAGCGACAGAAGCGTCGTCCTCAGGAATGGATCCCTACGTTCGCGACATTGCAATTTACATTATCGCGGCGACGACGGTACTTCTCGGAGCTGCAGGGTACAAGAACTACATCGAAGACCATTCCTTGGTACATGCCTCCATCAACGTGTCCGTGTAGTCGTTCCTTGCATCATACCATCGTAGGAAAACGATGTATTCGCTCAAGCCAAGTACTTTGCCACACGCAACAAGGCCGTAATCGATCTCACAGGTCTGCCAACCGACGTACAGAAATTTGTCGAGCCCATTGCGGACGACGCGGCGACAGCTCATGGCAAGATTGTTCTCGGGGGTGCCAAGTGCGTATATAATCATCTAGTGCGCTCAGTTGTGGAGATTTCCTGACATGTTCCACTTGCATAGAGGCAAAGCCACCATCGAGTACGTCGCGTTGATTCACGTAAAAGACGAGAGCGGGAAGCACGTGTTTTCGTCGTTTGACCTCATTTCGAACGGCAATGAGCGCATGTCGTTGCTAACAGACAACCCACGGGCTCCAAAAACCCCCGAAGAGGAGGCTGCCATCAAGGAGCAGCGTCAGGGGGAGCTCAAGGAACTCGGGACGAACCTGGTGTTGCCGGTACGTTGACTCGTTCACCTAGCTCTGAACTGGTGATACCATTGATGCAGGGCGTCGGGTTTTTCGCCGCGGGGTGCGTCGCTGCGTACATGATGCTTCGCATTATTCGCAACCGCCCGTCGTATGTCATCCAGGTGCGCACTTCGCCTTCGAGCAATGAAAGGCTGTGTTTGACAACGCTCGCTGGGTGTAGCTCGCGCTCGACAGAGTCAACACAGCATCCAGGGTCACTGAAATACTAGGAACGCCGATCAAGCAAACCAACAAGAACGTTTACCACGGTTCGATCACCGACCACTTTGCAGCGTTTGACGCCAAGGTGGCTGGTCCTAAAGGTACAGTGCGTCACGGAAAGTGGTCATGTACAGTTTGAATGAGCGCAGGTGCCGCGACCATGAAGGTGCACGCGATGCGGGGAAAGACACCAGATGCGGCGTGGCAGTTTAGTCAGCTGTCCCTAGATATTCAAGGCCGTGCCAAGCGAGTGAATCTGCTCGAACAAGAGCGAAAGTAGCGTCACCCGCCGACCGAGCTGACTTCGACTGGGAGTCGTCGTCATCGCTAGTCTCAATTCTCGTGCCAACAACCATGACTTGGCGCTCGTTGAAAATAATACACTTAGAATTACTTTTTCTTGGATTTCTTGCGCGACCCCTTGGACTGGTTAAAGACCGACACGAGGAGGCTGACGAGGGCCGTGTAGATGATCCCGGCGACGATGTTGAAATCGCAGATGGACGTGTACGGCAGACACACAATGGATGCTGTTGCCGCACCTTCCGGAGTCCACTGCACTTTGCCTTGCATGTCGTCACGAGCATCCATGAGATGTGCTTCCACCTGCCGCCGAATTTGGTCTTCCATCTCCTCCTTGGATGGAAAATACCCCCGTCGACCGTTCTTCTTTCGGTCGTACGCAAACTCGTCGACAAAGTCCCTGTGATAAATGAGGCCCATCCGTGGGGAACGCATGGCCACACGTTGACGCACCCATCGTCCAGTTCAAGGTCCATGTTTTCCTCATCGTCGTCGTCAAGGTCGAACTGGCCCATGTGATCCATGTACCTAACCGAATAACGTTAGAGCGGCAGCATCAGCAAGGCTGAGTACCGAGGTGCGGGACGTTCAACAGGAGTCTCGAGCTCATGTTCGTCTGCCGAAGGGAACTCGGGCAATGGAAAGCTTGCACGTTCTCGAGAAAACGTCCCGATTGGAGGAAGGTTTCCCTTGAACTTGCCAGCGCGTTGCAAGTAGGCAAAGAGTTTACGCTGCTCTTCATCGAAACAGTTATCATCCTGGCAGTGCGACGTGGCCATCTCGACCTGCACACGAAGCTTCTTGAGCTGCATGTACTTTTCTTGCGCATTGGCGAAGTCCTCTTCTAATTGTTCAGAACTTGCTGCCCCGTCCAAGAGTGCACGCCGAACCTCATCGTGAACGGAAGCAACGCTGGGATTCTGTTCCTCGTACGAATGGATCGCTGACAACGTATCAACAAACTTGACGTCCCCGCGAGTCCCGTAGATGCCACCACCCGCCACTACCGTCGCCATTGTGAGCGCAAGTACCCCCAGCGCTGGCTTCATCTTTGATATTCCGGAATGCCTCCGGAACAGTTGCGATCTTTCTTCCGGGGTCGAACTATACCGGATAATTCAATCGTTTAACCGGCATAGTTTTTCGCCAAGTCAACCCGAACATGGAGGAATGGAGGAGGCGCAGCCCAACGCGAACAAGTCCACCGCGCTACGGGCCGCGCCCTCGCCTCCAAATAACATGTTATCTACTGATGACTTTGTCAGGCTAGAATTCCTTTCAAGGACAGATACGGATAAGACATCTTGAACTGGTGACCTCACTTCTTGCCAAGACCCTTGGTTGTGTTGCGAAGGTTAGCACCTGCTTGTCGCCGGGGTGCAACCACAGCGTCGTCATGGCTTCGTGAAAGCTGCGTCGAAGGCTGGACTGTCGAAAGCATGAGCTTGCTAGCGCATGAAGACAAGGATTTCATCGCGCTTGTCACGTTCTCGACTGCAAATTGTTGGCGATAAAGCTAGCAATGGCCACAATAGCGCCACTCCCGTCCAAATAGGATGGATATGACGTACGTCTTTTCGCGCAATATCGCACTGCTTCTGGGTGTGTAGCAGCGTGCGTTTGGCCTTCTCCATGGCCAAAGTATGTTTCTTCTCCAACGCAACTTGGTCGTGGTGCACTTTAGCCAGTTCTGCCTCGCGCTGCAACATCAGCGCTCCCATTTGTCATGTCCACGTACGAGCTAGAATTTGCTTGAGCGTCCGTTCTGTCCTTGCTTTCTCTGCCGCCACTTCCTTCCACGCCTGCCACAGTGTAGCAATGAGACATCGCAGTCGTCGACTCACGACTCCTCACCTCCACGGCAGGTTCGTGCTCCTTCAGCGCCTTCTCTTTGGCTACCATCGACCGCTGCCATCAAGTGAGATACCTGCTCTAAGTAAGGCGCAGCACGCACTCGTATTCTGCTGATCGCATCGGCTGACTCCATTGCTTGACGCTGCAAGTTCCGCAGTTTTAGCAGCTTCTTCTCGTACAAGTCGTCAGATGCTGCCGACTCGTCGTATTCATGCACCTTCTCTTGTACGACTTCCACTTGCGTCTAAAAGACGCCATAATCGCAAGGACTCGTTCAGGTTGGCTCGTACAAGGAGACCTCGGTTGACGTGTTTAACAGCATTCAAATCATGGAAGACTGCAGAGCATGCCGCATGGACTAGTTGCAGCTCGCAGGAAGAGAATGTCTTGAATTGTTCGCCCGCATCCAGCACTCTTTGTGTCAGTTCGCGCACGTGCCGGTAATAATCGTCTCCTGTTTGCAAGACATGCACTTGGTGCGAAGAGGAGTTGGCTCGATCAGGACCTTTGTCGAACGTTTGCGCCGTCTTCTCACTCTGCCTTTGAAGGGCGCCACATAGCTCATGGTATGCTGCTCTTAGCTCATCGTCTGCATCAAGTCTAGCTTGGGTCGCACGCTCAAGGTCGAGTTGAACTTGCCTCGCCTTAGTCGGCGACGCTTCCTGCCGGTGCCGCATTCCTTCAAGCCAAGCATCCGGACACCAAGCAAATTATCCGAAAACTGCTTCATTTACGCAAGTGATGTGTCCATCGGGGCACCTCATGGAGACTATAGAAACGTCTCCGTTCGCGACTACGCTGCCATGGCCACGCCTCAAGTCCATCGGTTTGGGATGTGTGAAGACAGGTTTCCACCCTTGGGCAGTCTACTTTGCACGCGCATTCAATCAAACGTCTTGTACGAGGTCGCGGTCGAGCCGTCGTCGTCGTCTAGGGGAATGAGCTCGGGGTACTGGTGACGCTGATGATGGAAGACGCCGCCGGTTTCGCCTTCCAGGTTCTCTCGGAGATATGCACCCATGAGTTGGCCGACCATATGGAGCATGTACGTGGGTCGAATCTTCCCGGACGCTTTGAAGTACTGGTTCAAGTACTACGCACGAGCAACTTCCATGAGGTTGACACGCTTCATGGAAGACAACTGCACCGGAGAAAACAATGCCAAGTCGCAAAAGTTGTTGTGCCGGGTTTGTGCCAATGCAAAGAACGCCGATGATGGATGGCGGCACCGCCGCGCCATCGTCTTGAGCTGTTCAAAATGCGAATCCCATTCGTCCATCCAGTGCTGGGAAATGATGCTGCACACTGCCACATCCGGAACCCCTTCTGCGACAACATCGGCGTCAATGGGTTCCAACCACATGTCCAACCCGACCACAACCTTGATGCGCGAGTCTCGCTTGGCCCTATCCTGGCGGTCAGTCGCTTTCCACGAAAGTCCAGACGCAGACTGACGCAGTGAGAACGGTGGCACCACCGAAGGAGTGACCGGCTGCAGCCACATGGTCCAAGTTCAGGCCCTCGTAAAACAGCCCGCCTTCATCGGTTTGCAAGTCCACCAGCGCGTCCAGCACGGCCCGAACGTGGCGAACCCGTGCGTGCACCTGCTTGTTGCGGATGAAGTAACCTTCGCCTACCCAGTCGTCCAGAGCGGACTGCGGCGGCCGCTGGTAATAAGAGTACTACAAGCATCGAAGTTGAGTTTGGCCGAATTTCGAGGTCGCCAACATACTGTGATTTCGTCCACATTCCGCGACACTGAAGCAGATCCGTCGTCGTGGTTCACAACAATTACCACGAATCCTAGAGATAACATGTCCAATGATCCGTGATCATGAGGGATTGGATGGGTCCGTCGCACCTTCGCTGGCTACGTATTGCGTGATGCTCGAGTACATTTCAAGGCTGCCTCCCATGCCATGCGAGAAAATCATCACGGGCCAGCCATTCGTCGGGTGCGGCGCTTTCGCGAGGGGGACATCACCCCTTGCCCACAGCGTGCCGTTCGACAAGGAGGCAAAGAACCATGCGGGGAGCTTGATAAACGTGTGCAAACCGATGGCGAGGTGCTTGCCGTGATGCAAGTATGGAAGGGCCTTCCCAACGTCCTTGGCGTTTGTGGGGTAGAAGATGCGGCAGTCCACGCCGCGGAGGCGCATCGAGACACATCCGACGTGGGGATGCAACGGCGACGGCGGTGGAAACAGTGGCAACGGAAACAGAAATGTGGCCGCAATCACAAAGATGAAAAGCACACCTTGGACCCATCCAAGCCACAGGGGCGGTGCTCGCAGCGTCAAACCGCATCCGGCGTTGAGCAGAAACAAGATATACCCTGGGGTAAGTTCCACCCGCCAGGTGTGGAGAACGAAAGCGAGCACAAGAACTGCGGCAGCAATGCCATGGATAACTTGGCCAGGAAACACATGCAGAAACACGCTTTGCACCAGAAGCAGCACTAGCACCACGAACTCCACCAGCACCTGTCGCTTCATCTCTCTCGACCAGGTTCAGCAGGTGGCACACCCGCGGCAGGATTTTTTGCGTTTGTCTCGTCGACTCGACCTTCGTCGAACGACCTCTACAATCATCTGAATAAATTAAGACATCGCAATGTTTACTTGATATCTGAATGCATAGCTATTAAAACACAAGATTGCTTGGTCGTGAAACCACAGCAGCGAGTTTAAAACTGTCGAGTTATTAAATTCCTTGGTACATGGCACAACAACGGTTGGATTCCAACGACAGGCATTCAAAAATGCTGCATGACATCTTACAAGCTGTCGTCGTAATCAACACTATTTCGTGATATAAACCAGAGAATGTCCAAAAATAGTGTGCATCCACGAGGTCATTGGCCACCAGCCAAATTCGAGGGCACGGCCAGGTCGACGGCCATTTTCAATTGTATATCCCATGTCTTTTCGTGGCGGAGCGCGAGGCGGCGGACGTGGCGGCGGACGCGGATTTAGCGGTGGCCGTGGGGGAGGCCGTGGGTTTGGCGGTCGCGGTGGTGGCCGCGGCGGCTTTGAAGAAGGCCCGCCTGCCACGGTCGTAGAACTCGGCGTGTTCCTCCATGCGTGCGAAGACGAAATGGTGTACAAATCGACCAGCGACAAGGTGCCGTACTTCAACGCGGGCGCATTCTTGGAAAACAAGACCAAGATTGGCAAAGTTGATGAGATCCTCGGTGCGATCAACGACGTGATGTTCACGGTCAAGCCCGATGCCGGTGTTACCGCCAAGTCCTTCAAGGCCGGTGACAAAGTGTACATTAGCCCAGACAAATTGCTGCCCCTCTCCCGATTCACGGACCAAGGCAAGAGTTCTGGCGGTGGACGCGGCGCTGGTGGCCGTGGTGGTCGTGGAGGTGGCCGAGGAAGCGGCCGTGGTGCTGGAGGACGAGGCGGTGGCCGCGGCGGTGGCTTTGGCGGAGGACGTGGCGGCGGACGCGGATTTAGCGGTGGTCGTGGTGGTGGCCGTGGCTTTGGCGGCGGTCGTGGTCGAGGTGGTCGATTTTAGACTAAGTATGTAAATAGATAATGGATAGGGCTTCCGTATTGTGTACACTTGGAATTCGTCGACCAGGGGGGCTTCCTTTGGGGCATGCAGCCGCACCAAAATGCACCTTGCATAGCCATAGACGACAAGGTGTTTCCTTTCTGCTTGGAGCACAGTGTCTAGGACGGCAGCTCAGTGCAATTAAGTCCACTACTCTACGTAACAGCAACCATGTAGAATAAATAGATCGTAAAATAATTCGTTTTCGACTTGCTCTGTGCTGATTTCACCAGGCGCTGGCCCGTGACGTTAGTTTCGAATGGCAGCACCCCACGTACTCGTCAAGTTCCTTCGACTAGAACTTACGAGCCTTGCTGCGCCAGTCTCAGCTCCAACCACGGCGGCTCGTGGCAACGTTGGGCGCCAAGGTCCACAGTTCGGGCTTGGAGTCTGCAGCGTAGGATGGTGGCTTGTGCATTCCAAACCCCCGGGGAGGCCATTCGCAGCATGGGCCAAGCAACGTCTCGAGCGCCAAATTGCTCAAGGTGTGGTAGATGGTGCAGGGGAGTTGCCACCAGCTTGGTAGTACGTGCGATAGAAGTGAGCAGCAGGACCAGATTGTGCAATTGGAAAGTCCGGTGTCCCCAAATTATTGTCTTCCAGGACGGGGACAATCAAGTCATCTTCCGAGAAGCGAGTGGGGAGGGCGTCGACTCCACCTACAAGGCAAGAACTTTGTAAGGGATGGATGCTGCCCGCAGTCGATCCACGAGTTGCACCTATGCTCAAGCAGTGTCCCGCGTTCGAGCAAAAGTCGCACAGGCGATGTGCGCCTTCAAGTTTGTCGAAGGTGAGCATGACTGTGCAATCTTTGCAGAACGCCTGGCATATCGTCATGATGCGGTTCGGTGACAACGGCATCGTCGACGTACCTCGTGGCACGCAGTGCATATTGCCTTGCGACGTAGGAGGGAGAAGTGTTTACTGCACCGCAGGCACGTCGTCTTCTTGGGACTGTTGAGGACGAGGTCCATTTGGCGATTCTCGTCGCGAATGGCTTTGCCCGCCACAATGATCGAGATCATGGTCGTGTGTGTCAATGAATCTGAAAATGTCCAAATGCGCGCGCGTGACGATACATTTGTATCGAACACTATACAAACTACGACATGTCAGATTTCCACCCATAGTAAAGTCAAGAGTCGCCGTCCACAAATTCACCGTGATTTGTCCAACGTGGTCCGAGATTCGCTGTGCCAGTGGGCCTCGCCGCGGCCGTTGCCCGAGAAAGCCTTGAATCTCTCGTTGGGCACGCGAAGCCTCCCCCGGCCGCGCAACTGCACTCTCAAAAGAGTGGCCGTGGATCCCTACGGAGTCCATCCACTCGGCCTCAAACCTAGCGCGCATGTCCGGCCACCCTACGATGAATCTCCCAAGGTACGGTACGTGTGATCGTGTATTGCTGGGATGTTGGGCCTGTATCACGGCAGTGGATGGATGGCATGGCTCGATGAGCGGGTCGCATCGGGTTGCGCTGTCGCCATGTTGGGCGTGCACGACACTCCAAGATGGTCCAGCGAAGCTACCGACCGAGACGACACAATCCATTTACCAAGGACGGACTGCGGATTGATATCTTCGCATGGACCGTGCCCTCCACGCACGTCTACGCGATGCGTCTGGGCCACCTTGAATCTCCCAGTAGATTTGTCGACATCGACGGTGGCGTCCAAGTAGTTGCGAAATGCCCCACGTCATTAACCTGTGCGCCCAGCACCGTCGCAACGTTGCAATCCATCACCAGCATCGTTGGTGGAGCACGGATCGTGTGGTTGAACGACTCCATGGAATGGACAGTCCATTTGGTCGAAGCAGGCGAGACACAGCGGTCATGGGCTGAGCTAGGTGAGACGGACGTCCGACCAAGGCAAGGCGGGCAAGCACAGTGTACCTCCAAGATGGAATTGGCCTCAACCACCCAATACACGCTGCTGCGAGATGATGGATGGTGGCGGCAGCAGCGGTCGAGGTATCGTAATCTGACGATCCTCGAACTTGGATATTGGTGCAATGATCATGTCATCCGAAACAGTCGATTAGAACTAAGGTAATTCTTCGAACTATGGATGTGCCAACGTGTCTTCGTCGAAAGATGCATCGTCGTTCGATCGCATACAGCAAAGATATCGACATGCACTCGTCGACATCAAGGTGATGTCAACTTTCGATGCGACTGGGTCGGCAAGGAACCTAATTTCCCAACACATACACAGCCGTTGATTTTCTCAAGTTTGAGTTCCGTATACAACAATGGTATATCCGGATGTAATTCCCTTAACTACGTTCAAGCAATATTTGACCGAATAGATTCAACCGTGAATCTATAATATGCCAAGCTACGTCCGTCTGCAATAGCATGGGAACCCTACCATGGGGCATTCCAGGCGCGGGTAGCTGTGGTTGGATTTAAACGGGTCATGTCCTCGAGCTCAGTGGACTTACACTAGACCAAGCAGAACGCAGTAATTGAAGGCTGCGAAGGACAAGGGGGCTCAGGATTGAACACTTCGTGCTGAGCTCATCACAAAATGATACCGTTTTTTGTTTGAAAAAATTTTCTGCTGGGACTTTGACGTTTTTCAATGGGTCGATTCTGATGGCAAGATAGATTATCTGGAAAAAACGTGTTCATGTAATATTTTATTTCATACAATTTCGATGTTCGCAAGCTGCATTTAAATGTACTCCTTGTTTCCACCACACAAACATTCAATGAGTTTGGAATCTCGTCGTTGATCGCCGCCGCCATCATGTATGACTTCTGCTTAACGCTTCCCGTACGCGACAGTCGCGGTCCACCACGATATTCATGATGCTTGTAGTATGGTGCAGCCATCGCCGTTGGTGGCATCGTGGGCTATGTGAACTCTGGTAGCTCGGCTTCGCTAACTGGTACGTTCTCCTCGCCGTGGATTGTCAGCTGACTGTACACTCAGCCGGAGTCGGTGCGGGCACCCTCCTCCTCGTTTTCGGGTATGCCTCGTACCAAGAGTTCCAATCGAGCCCTATCGTGTCCAAGACATGGTCCGCGCTCTCCCTCGGCGTGTCGGCCGTGTTGAGCGTCGTCATGGGGCTGCGTTACAAGGAAACGCAGAACTTCGTCCCGGCTGGCTTGATCGCTAGCACGAGCATTGGCATGTCGCTCTTCTACGTCTCGATTCTTCTCAAGAACAATAAGCCCAACTACAAGAAGAACTAGACATGATCATGCCCCCCCACCCGAGAGGATTCCATCCTAATCCACGTCATCCCTTGCACAATTAAACTTCGCAAGCATGCTGGTTCATATTCCTTGCCCTCTCGATTTCCTCGCCGAATTGCAACGATGCTCGACCAGGAGCGTCCAGCACGCGATGTTTGCTGGTCATTGACAAGTCACATGAAGCCCACTACATGCGACGCAGCCGTGGTGTCAAGTTGAGCGTTTTCTTGGCCGAGTAGTTGGCCCGATACTGAATGGCATAGTCGACGACTTCTCGCAACGATTTGAGCAACCAGTCGCGCTGCAGGACGTTCTTGAGCTTGAGGTCGAGCGTGCGGTCGTCCGTGACCAAGCTGAGGAAGCAATCAGCGTCCAAAGATGGCGTTTTCTTGGCGGCTTTCTTCAGCACGGCCGTTTCCATCCCGATGTGGATGGCTTTGACTCCATGAAGGGGAAGATATGCATTGCTTCGTTCGCCTTGTTTGGATTGCCAGTACAGCATGCACGGGTGGCACTCGTCGTAGAACAGCTTGGTCTCGTGCGGTTTACCTCGCCGGCCAAACTTGAGGATGTGCAGATCGTTGATGACGCACTTGGCGAGTTGCAGCGTCACAGTGAGCTTAGATTTGGTTTCGAGCAAGCTCTTTTGCGCTTGCGACTTGGACGTGAGCTCATCCTGTACCTGCGTGCTCAGGTGGCTCAGCTGCGGAAACAGCAGCTCCTTGGACAAACTGTGCGATACACCGTCAGCAACGGCGCAATGGGATGGAAAGATAGGTGTGTGTGTGTGACGTACTCCTTTTGCGTGTACTGCGACAGCATGTCGCGAAGGCGACTCTTTGCCCACGGAAGCTCGTGCATGACACCTTTGACGTAGCGCAGTTGCCGCAGCATCATGGCGTTTTGTTGAGGGCCGAGTTCAAGGACGGGTGGCGGAATCGCTGCGGCCGCGGGGTGGAACGTAAACAGACTCAAGTTAAGTGGTTTGAATTTTCGAGCGATCTTGATGGCCCAGCGTTGGTGGTTAGCAGCAGTGGCCGAGGGTAACTTGCCAGCGGGTAATTGTTTTGGCTTTTTAGCTTTAACCAGTACGAGTTGGTTGGCCACGTTGCCCAACTTGCCGGGACTCATGCTCACTTTGCCTGGCAAGTCTCGGATAAGCCACGGCGAGTCATGGGTGCTGCAACTGTACCTGGACTATTTTTGCAGGATGTGAGGGACTTGCGGCGAATGCTACTTCGACGGCGATGGCCAGGGGACGCTGACGAGATAGGAGTGGCTACATGAGGTCGCGGAGTTTGGTCGATGGATGCAGGACTCATTGTGGCGCTGATAGGAGGCGGTTGCTTGGTGTCTATTGCGTCTGGAACATGGTACTTGGCTCCTCGCAGAGGCACCTTGGGTTTGTCCTCCTCTGGTTCGTTATTGGTTTCGTCTTCTGGGCGCGCATCTGCACCTTCGTCGGCTTGATTTGAATCGACCGTTGTGTCAACTTTCTTCAGCACGCAGTGGAGACGGTCGATTTCATTCAGGCAGTGGCCTAACGTCATGTGGAGCGAGTCGCGTTCGAGGGTGTCGAAGTGCATGAGTTGTTTCAACTTGGACTTGGTCGCGTCGCTGTCCCATTTCATGTGCTCGAGAAGGTAATGGAGGTACTCGTGGAGTGGCGAGACCTTCGGCAATGAAGACACGGCGGTAGCCTCGGTTGGCCGAGTTGCTGGGACTTTACCTCCGTCGTGGACTTTGGCTTTGCAGGGTGTCGATGCCTCTGGACTCTGTGCTTTGCGTGTGTGTCGTGTGATGATGTTGGCATTGTTCGACGCCGCCGGCTGCAGACCTTGGACACTAGACGCCATGTCCAAGTGGAAGGAAGACGGCGCGCCGACACCCGTGGGCAAAATCAGCTTCTGAACGCCATCATCACGCGCTGCGAGCGTGAAACGTTTGACGTTGGTCAATTGGGTCAGTAGCCAATCAAATCCACGGAAGAAGAATTCAAATGATTTGATTGGAGGATGGGACCTCACACCGAAGATATTGTACAATTCCATAACGGACCCCAGAATAGCTCGCCATGTCGAAGCTATAAATAGAATTACCGCGCAGCGTCGTCGAGGGGCATCCGATGAGGCGCTCGACCGCCATCAATCGTAATTGCCATGCACCAGGTCCTTTGCCACTCACTTGGTTGATTGCGCAGTACGCGTCCTTGACAGGCATGTCGCGCGCCACCTGCTCTGGACGCGATCCTCTAGTTGCCCTCTGCCATCTCCTATGGATGGCCTTGGGGTGTTGGACGCGCCGTCAACATCGACAACGCTGTGGCGTGTAACTCGTGCAAACATTCAAGAGGAGAGAGGTTGTCCTCAGCCGTCTTGATGCCATTCCCATCCATGAACCCAGGTACATTTTCGGGGAGGCTTCGCCGTACGTCTGCGAATATGCCAACGACCGAGTCCACCACGGCTTTCAGTGGCATCGGTGGCATTTGCTCGAACGGCAGCCTTTTGACTCGGTATAGTTGTTGCTGCGCGTCGAGAGGCCACTCGAACAAAATTGGACAAGAACACATTGAGCAGCAAGTCCAAGACTGGGAACATGCCATGCGGCTGGTTGTACCGCATTTTGGTGGCGGAGGTCGCATTCCTTGGACCACTGAAAGATCGGATTGACGGCCCCGGCTGTGTAAATGCCCGTAGCTGTGCACCGTTTAGCGCAAATCCAACTTCACTTTCCCGGGGGGCAACCTTCCGGTGCTCATCCACCAGCCCTCCCGCTTCGTAGACGTATGTATGGCTTCAATGGCGATTACGGCTAGGTTCAGTCCTTGCCACGGGCGACATTATGCTCCACGGCAGCGCTCTCCACCTCTGCCCCCCCTCTTTCGCACCTAGTTTTGGGAACATCTCCACATTTGTCGAAAGATCATTCAGAGCCGCAAGAGCCTCAAGGACTCCATCCTTCTGCTGAAGGCACCTGGCCGCTGCGAATGGCGCATCTTGGCTCAGACGGCTCCACTTCGCCTCAATGGGATCGCGAGCTGTGTGACTGACTATACGCGCGGTCGACAGCAAATCAGGATGAACTTCCACCCCAGCCGTGGTGTGGCGATGGCAAACTCTGCTGCAGACGATTTCTACGTTTGTGAGAAGGATCGCCATGCGCACGAAGCGCGACAAGACGTTGAGGAAAGCACAGCCTTTTTCATAAAATTCGAATGCAGCTACAACAGTCTAACATGCAACATCGGGCGGCTATAGCTAGGAGCCCCTCAGTTCTTGAAGGCACCGACGATGCCAGCCACAGCCATGACGAGGACGGCCGCAACCCCGACGAGGTACGCGATCGATCGAGGCTTGGACCACGCCATTGCGTAGAAGATCGTGTGAAGGACGCGCATTGCGGCGAACACAATGATGCTGATGCCATTCACGTTCGTGTCGCCACCACTCAAGATGGACGCCCAGACCACGATCAAGCCAAGGGGGATGTTTTCCAGATCGTTGGCAACGATGCGGCTCCATCGTTTCTCGACGAGGAGGGCGGCTTGGTGGTTCTGCTGCTTGGAGCCTTGGCCGTCTTCCACCGCGTCGACGACAAGCCCAAAGTTTTGCTTCTGGTCGGGGGTGTCTTCGGGTGCCCGGAGGCCGGCGAGCTCCTTCTTGTTGGCACCGATAAGCGTTGCGACAACGTACTTGACGTAGAGGACGAGGGTCGCGATGATAGCAGCTTTCTGCGCAAAGAAGAGGTCGGTCGCCATCGTGGTGGTGGAGGTGGCCAATTCAAAAGTGAACGGACGACAACGCGCTTGAAGTCGACGGTTGATGGAATTCGTGCAGCCGCTGCTTTTCGCACAAGGACCCCGCAAGTTCAACGTTTCCCACGTGGGAAGTGCAATTTGACGATGGCAAGTGTCACACGGAAGGGGACTGTCGTGTGCGTTCTCTGCTGCTCCTGCAGGACCTTCTTTTGGAAGCTACGACTTCCATTCGTGGTTGCGGAGGCGCAAACCTTCTCGGTGCCCCCCCCCACTGAGCACGTTCGTGTGCGTTCGCGGCCTCGAGATTCGATCTCCTGGTGGCTCTTGTCTGGTGCACGAGTAGACCCGGTCGACACGCTGGTTGAACCGATGAAGACCGTGCGCATTGCTGTGTTGCATTGAGATCTGCACTGCACGACGCTGAAAAACGCGTCAAGGAATTTCGTGGTGTGCACTTCATCAAGTAGCTGGCGACCCATCTTTTCCAACTTGAGTCCACTGGCATCATGCGTCGTTCGACTGACCACACGCAACCATTCGTGAATTCCAAAGACGTCAGGAGGCGCATCGCACGATGGCGGCCTGACGACGTCCATCCTAACCCACGTTGCAATGAACGGATGCTGGTCTCTCCCACTGCAACCGTGACAACGTCTTCGACCTCCCCGCGAGGAAGCGTCGGCGCATATTTGCTGCATGTTTCGATTCAAGTTCAGAATCGAGTAACGGTGATGCTGCTGGCGGAATTGGACGCGTCATCACGTCCAGGCAACATCGACAAAATCGTTAGCGCAGAGGAGACCTTCCGTGCCCTTCGTTAAGTCACTGCTTCAAAGCCGGCCACATTTTGCTACGCTATAAAGAATCTTACGCCAGTTCCAAGCCAAGCCATCGCCAGCATGTCTCGATCAATTGGTGCAGTGCGCGAAATAAATAAATGCGCAAATTGACATCTTCAGTATATCGTGAATAATATCAGATAAAAAATACACCAAGACTTTGGAGTTCTATGCAGCCGGTGAGCTTGGATTTGCCAACTTACAGTCGACGGCACCAACTAACAGTCTTTGCGATATCTGTCAATTCTAATCCATTTGATATGGGACTTTGTATATGAGATTGAGCTTCCATCTGTGCATATCACTGTTTAAGCTGGTTGCTGTAAAAATGAATATATCTCCAGAAGCATTCGACGACAGACCAAAATGAATGTCATTTTTCACCCAGGAACCTCATAACCTTATGCTGAAACCCCGCGATTTTGGAGGTATTTTTATCCCTCATCTTTGGATACCTTGACTTTGTATACACTGCCACGGATGAAAATAGTCGACACCGTAAGCCAAAATAGATGTCAAAGCTTCATGATTCTTTGCATGTGCATTCTACACCTTCCTTGCTATGTATGGATCAAGCCATTGATGACTGCTTCGACTTCGTTCGAGTTTCTCGACGCCGGCATACACTCAGCGTCAAAAACTAGGGAACACTGGCATTTTTTGTGATATCTCAACAACCAATGGGAGTTAGGAGTCGCTGTTTGAATATGTCGTGTGCATTTGCATGTGTGACGCGTGACTCTACCTAGTGGCTCCA